TCGCTGATCGACTATTTGCACTGAACGTTGGTCTAAAATTCTACACTCCTGAAGAATTCTTCCTTGGTTCTCGCCCTGTAAAGCACCTCAGCCCTAAGTTTGATCCAAAGACTCTACCTAATTCAAATTGTGGTGATAAATGTGTGAATGAGTGTGAAGTTATCGTTATGGTTGGCAGCCCGGGCTCGGGAAAGAGTCATTTTGCCAAACATAACCTTGTCAGTAACGGATATGTACATGTGAATCGTGATACGTTAGGTTCTTGGCAGGCGTGTGTGAAGATGTTAGAAAAATCACTGCAGAAGAATGAAAGGGTTGTAATTGACAATACAAATGGCGATAAAACAAGTCGAAAAAGGTATATCGATGTGGCGAAAAAGTTAAATGTTCCTTGCAGATGTTTTGTAATGACCACAAGTCCAGTGCATTGTAAACACAATAACAAGTTTCGTCAAATTACAGACAAAACTCATGTTCCTGTAGGTGAGGTGATTTTAAATATGTATAAAAAGAATTACGAGGAACCCATTGTAGAAGAGGGCTTTAATGAAATTGTGAATGTAGACTTTGTACCTAAATTTGACAATGACGATCATGAAAAACTTTATAAGATGTTTCTGTTGGATTAATAAATCTAGTGAATCAGTATTTTTAAATAAATTAATTTTTGAATTTTTTAATTTCTTTAAAAACTTCTTTTGAATCTTCATTTTCAACAAGTTGCAAAGGCGAGTGCAAAAGTATTCCTCACCAAAGAATGGGTGATTGTCTTTAGTGTTTGAAAGGATTCTGAACTTGAAGTATTAAGTTATAAAGTGCTGAATATCAACATCAAGTACTTACTAGCATGCTATATTTATCAATGTTTACTTTCTTGCTAGATGATTAATGGGGAGAGGGATCTTTACACATGAACATTTAAAGGCCGCTTGACATACATTAAAAATCTAACGCAAGAAGAGTCAAGTCCTTGAGAAACCCTCCAAAATATTGTATTTTTCCTTTGTAGGTAGGTAGGTACCTACTTTACCTCAACATTTTCGAGATATTCGTAATTAAGTGTAAACATCCGCAGTACACATCGTTTAGATGATTGTTCCGCTTCCGCTCATTGAGAGTACCCTCCTGCAACACTCGGTTCTGCAGATATTACCTAGCATTGAAAGTTTTGACACCAATAGATGTGTCTCGACCAGACACATTCCACTTGGCCTTTTTGAGTACCTTCCGACACTTCCTTTTCAAGATACAGTTTTGTTTGACTTCACCAAAATATATGTCTAGTCTAGACAACAAACCGTTTTCGAGATATTCGCTTTTCAAGTTTTGACGTCACCAATGCATATATTGCTTCCAGAAGTCCCATACTCCCTTGGTGGGCACCCTTTTCCGATAATTGACTCTTGAGATATGAGGAATTATAACCGAGTACCATGAAGGATAAAACCACTCCCCGCAGCCCCTATTTTGATAAGGGGTAAGAAAGAATCTCCCCCTTCCCCTGCTGATCTAGAAAAGGAGTTGCTCAGGAAAGTTATAGTTCACACAAACAGATTTGTTTCATCAGAATACCATGCAGGGGTCCAACGCCCCCCCCCCCCCATTTTTAAGTTTGATTAAAACCGAGCGAGCGAGCGTAGGCAAAATTTGATAACAATTAGTTGTCTTTAATAGCTTTCGATCTAGTATCATGTCTATCTACCTATTGTAATGGTACCAGTATATTTAGAGGTTTATATTGTATATCACTTCCAAGAAAAACTCTAATTTTCGTCATTATGAACCGATTTCGACCAAACTTTAAGTATTGGTGAATGGTGTAACTCACAAATATCTTGGTCAAGTTTGTGAATAAGCCAATTTCGCCATATTGAAACAAAATCCGAATACTTATCTTGTATATACCTACAATGATGATTCTGACAATTCAAACTGAATGGTCAATACATCAATAAAATCAAATTGAAACATACTGCAAAAGACTTTTGCGTGAATGGTGCCAAATTGATAGGGCCATTATTGCACCTGTCAATTTACAGACGGTTCAGATCCAGAGTGTGCTTGGTTGAAACCATAGATACGGTTTGTACCACAGATCACAGCGACATAGGTAATTGTTAATTGACCATTGCCTGGTAAATACAAAACGCGTATGTGGAGTAAGTAATCGCACATATTTAAACAATCAATTTAAATATAGTTGTTTGATTAATCTACATACGAGGCAGGTTCCATAAATACACGGTCGAGCGGTTTTACATATAAGCGGTTCATTTAAGCTAAACAAAATTGCCATTACTACATCAGCAGGCATCCCACTGCTTCACAAAACGCGATATACCGGTGGCATACCACTCCTGTGGCTGTTGACAGAACCATGTGAAAACGGCCTGCTCGACTTCAGCGTCCAAATGGAATCGCTGTCCCTTGAGTGTCTTCTTAGAGTCCAAAGACGTGGAAGTCATAGGGTGACAGAACCGAGCTGTAACGGGGGTGTTCTAATACCTCCTACCTCAGTCGCGCTATCTGTGAGGTGATAATGTTAGCGATATGCAGACTTGCGTTATCATGAAAGAGAATCACGCCTTCCGTAAGCATCCCAAGACGTATTCTTTATGGCTGTACGCAAGCGAGTCAAAGATTCACTGTATCGGACAGCATTGATGTTAACATGAGGGTCTTTAAATTCATGGTCCACGGTGATCGAAAAAGCAGGTACTGCTCGGTGATCGATCTTGGACGCTCCAACGATATGACCTGCCATACTGAAACGCGCACAACAACTGTGTATTCTACGAATATCACGAGTCAACTGTCACAGTAGACACCTACATTACCGACGACCGTCTTATGTAACTTTCTGCGGTTATAACACAACTAACATTCGTGCCACAGCGTTCGAACGTGTATTTATTGAACATGCCTTATACTATTTTAACTATTTTACTACTATTTTATTTAATATGTATAAACGTGCCGTTTTTTATTTTGCCTATGAAATGATATTCCTGCTGGACAACGACCACTGCAATTTTTACAGTTGTACGCAGAACAATTCACCACGTTTGTATTACACAGTTTTGCACACACAAACTTTATCAATAATGACGAAATGTCAATAAATTCACACTGCCACCGCGCGTCAAATTCACGCATGCCGTGGATCGGTACGCGTCAACTCGCCAAGAGCGACTCGCCACCGGACCACTCGCCAACGGACGACTCGCCACTGCGACCTCACCAACGAAATATTTTTCCCTGTTTAATGTGTCGTTCAAATAACGATGTGATTGTTAAATTTTCTGTTCAAATAAATCGAAAGAGCGAGTAACAATTTCTTGTTCCAATATTCATTTCCCATTGTCGACATTGACATATGAGAATATGTCTATATGATTGTCGATAGCGATATATACAGTAGGTACCTTATATCAAAATGCAGCAATAGAATCAGGTATTGGTGATTGGGTCTTCATTCAAATATTGACTACAATTTTTCGATAAACTTTGTTTACAAAATTAGGGAAATTGACTATTGCATTTGTGGGATGCATTTGTATGACACATTAAACAGGGAAAAATATTTCGTTGGCAAGTTGTAGCAGTGGCGAGTCGTCCATTGGCGAGTTGTCGCGGTGACGAGTTGTCGCGTTGGCGAGTTGTCCCGTTGGCTAGTCGGTCGGTGGCGAGTAGTCCGGTGGCGAGTCGCCCTTGGCGAGTTGATCGTGTTCCCCATGGATGCGGTATTACGGGTCCCCTCTCTTTCATTGTCTAAGGTTCGTACTAAGGTGTTGCCTTTTACTCAGATGAACATTATTATTCAAATGTATTTCTTAACTTCGAAATCAAGGTAGCTACGACCTACGATTTATCATTGCATGGTGAGAATTATTCGGGGGAAATGTATAGGCATAAAAGCAACATTGACAAACAATCAAAAAGTGGTTCCATGTAGAAGTTAACAAGTGATCGAAACAACTAAAAATATACAGGCTGTTCTATTTAAAAATCAGTTATTTATTCACACCGTAAAAATGGGACACCTTGACGCACATGGACTGCTATTAGCCCTATGCTTTCAATAGAAAATGTGTGGTCACGGATAGGGGGCACTATCGTGGATATGTGAATCTCAGGGTAAACTAAAGTCGTGTAAACAGCAGTCGGATCGCGTACACAGCAGGTTTTATAGTAACCGCGTAGTACGGGAAGCTTGAGGGGAAGCTTTTAATACTCTTGATTATCTTCTATACATCCACAAATAAGAATAGGTTTGCTTTTTTTACCCTTCGCCACTCGCCAGTAATGTCATTTTCTTGATTTTTGTGTTAATAACTTGCTATAGTAGCAAAGCCTATTAAGCGATAAGTTTATGCGCATTTTTCATCGTGATGTTTGACAGTATATTATCAGTATTTAATATTCTACCAAGCTTTTCTTTTTACAAAATCTGGTTAAGATCTCAAACCATCAGACGGTATAAGCCAACGGTGGCCAAAGTACGGCTCTTTTAAGTCTGTACTGCGGCTCACTCACAAAACAATTGGAACCCGCCATTGGTTTTCTATGAAATCCATTAGAAGTTGGTGTACCTAATTAATAAAAGTTTTCCACTTTCAACAAACATATTAAAAGAAACAGAGCCCGTGGATCTGGAGTTGATAGTTATGATGTTGAAGCGTTGTGCTCGACTATAAATTGTGTTAAAACGGTCGCAATTACCAAATCAAAACCTGAAAGTGCTATTCCAACCTAACCACAAAGAATGATAAATAAATCATTTGTTAAACCGTAGATCCCTCCCCGTCCACTCCTCAATCATGGGAAGTGTGGCTCTCGCAAATTTCATACAAAAAGAAATGGCTCTTGCTGTAAAAAGTTTGGCCACCCCTGGTATAAGCTATAGTTTATTTAAAAAATACGTTAAAAATGATAATCGGCGGTCGTTAAAAAATTAATCATTTTTAATTGTTTAAATTTGTAATTGTAATTTTATTTCTATTATTGTCAATTTGTATGGTTTTTTAGGTCTTGGTATTAGATGAAGCAGACAGATGCCTAGATATGGGCTTCGCTCAAACTATGAATGCAATAATAGCCAATTTACCCCAAAAACGCCAAACAATGCTGTTTTCTGCTACACAAACAAAATCTGTAAAAGATCTGGCCAGACTCAGTTTAAAGGATCCATGCTACATATCTGTACATGACAACTGCAAGTATACAACTCCAGTTGGTTTAGAACAAAGTTACATGATATGCGAATTAAAGGACAAAATAGCTGTGATTTGGAGTTTTATCAAAAATCATTTGAAAAAGAAAGTAATAATCTTCTTCTCCAGTTGCAAGCAAGTGAAATTTGTTTACGAAATGTTTTGCAAGTAAGTATGTATTGCAAGTGATCAGTTGCTGTGCAACACAAGTTCTTCTTTTAGATTACAACCAGGTACAAGTGTTTTCGCTTTATATGGAAGTCTCCACCAACAACGCAGAATAACAACGTATGAAACATTCTCTCAGAAAAAATCTGCTGTTTTAATAGCTACTGATTTGGCAGCACGCGGATTGGACTTTCCTGAAGTGCACTGGGTTGTACATGCTGATTGCCCTGAGGATACAGACACTTACATACACCGAACTGGTAGGACAGCGCGATATTTTCGAGGTGGTGAAAGCGTTTTACTTTTGTTATCATCGGAAATAGCAATGATTGAAAAATTGAAAGAGCGGAAAATTCCACTCACAAAAATTGAGTGAGTATTATCAATATTTCTCTTGTACATCATAATAGAAATAAATACCCTACTCTAGTTAAATGATTGTTACATGATTAAGTTTTTATAATCTTTGATTGCAGAGTGAATCCGATAAAACTACAAAATCCGATCAAGAAAATGGAGGCATTATTAGTAAAATTTGTCGCGCTAAAAGAATCAGCTCAAAGAGCATTTAAAAATTACATAAAATATGTATATTTAATGAAAGACAAAAGTGTCTTTGATGTACATTCATTAGACACAGATTCATTTGCACGATCACTAGGTTTAGCTGTGACACCGAGAGTTAGATTTTTACAACGTTTAAATTTAAAAACACAACCTCAAAAACAAATTGTGCAAAATAATAACGTGAGAAATGCAGATAGGGTAGAGCACAGCGAAAATAGTGATACGGAAGACAATCAACACAATAAGACAGAAGAGGTTGATAGTGATAGTGATGAGGACATACTGACTATTAAAAGGAGAGACCACGATATTGATATACCAGTGGGACAAGAATTGGAAGCACCTCATGTTAATACCTCAAAGAAGGTCACAACAAAAGTTGCACTAGCAAAAAAAATTTTGCGTAAAAATATTGCTTCAAATAAAAAACTTGTGTTCAACGATGACGGTGATGCAGTTGCCGTTGGCACTAAAGAGAAACGTTCTGAACTAGCGCAAGCTTACGAAAATGAGGACGTGGGCGGTCTAGATATAGAAAAGGCTAAACTTGTTTTGAGAGAGGAAGATAAATATGATAAACAATTATTTAAAGAAAGGATAAAATTGAAGCATAAGGAGCAGAAGAAAAAGTTAAAGGAAAAGAAATTGAAAGAAAAAGAAGAGGCAGAACAAGAGCAGGATGATTTTGGATCCGAGTCGGAATCTGAGGCGCCAGATCTGTCATGGTTACCAGATCCTGATAAAATTTATGGAAAGAAAACTGATTCTGAACTGGCAGAGTTTTATGAAGAGCATGAAAACAAAAATCAAGTAGAGAAACAACGGTAAGCGATTTTTTTTTACCTTAAAGCTACCATTCCGATCTTGGCAGTTGCGACCCACTTTGGCTGCCCAGCCGCGCCACGATCGCGAGCTGGCCTGGAGCGCCTGGATTGAACACTGCGGCATACTGCTAAGAGTAGTGCCCTACGACCATGGTGGAGTTGCCGGGTCACCACTACTAAGATCAAATTTGGAATGGTACCTTAAGGATCCCTACTTGTCAATCACATTGAGGGATACTGACCTTTTCTTCTGGATTCTGAATTTTGAGGGGAAGATCCACACATGTTCACTTACAGTCAGTTTTCGTACTTATGCCCTTTGTGATACACTTTGTTGATGTATAGCTATCTACCACTGACAATCACAAAGAATCTGCGTTCTGGGATCTCTCCTTGTTTGTATATACTTAGTAATTCTCCAAGAAACTTGGGTCCAGCCGTGTGTTTGTCTATGCCCAAAAAAAATGTCAACCTGCAAGATTATCCTTTTATAACAAGCTCACTTTGAAATGAGTAATTGACACTCCACATGAGCTCTAATTCTAAGTTGCAACATAAGGATAGTGCATCGGCTTTTGATGACGCTTGTCAAACAACCTATAAGGAAGCGTATAAAACCTGGATCGATTTCAGACAGGTGTGGAGCACTTTTTCCCCACTGATGTTGCGATAACGTATGGCATACGCATGCAATAGCGCCAGTAACCACAGGTCAGATAAACAAAATGCCAACAATACTGCCTATATTATCTAAAATGTGCTAAAGGACTTTTTGAGATGTTAAGTATGAATTCGAGACCATGGTAAAGTTTGTCCTGATGTACATAGTGGGATAAACGCATTTGAACTTTTTAAAAATAACTGAGACATCATTGAAAAACTAAAAATGTCAAATTTCATTTTATTTTCCCTAGCTTAAACGGTTGAAAATGGACGGTTCCCGTTAGCACCTTCTCTGGGCTCTGTTTTTCAGAGAATGTAAATCTATTACTTATCAGAATTTCCATAACACACTTGATGTGAAGCTACAGATACAGGCTACTACTTTTTTATATCTCTTGGACGCCATATTGGATTTTTACGGAATGAGATAGAGGATAAAAAAAAAGACGTTTACACTCGACACTTTTACATAAATTTACAAAAAAAATTTCAAAATCAAATATTTTACATTCATTTCTCAACAAAACATCCTTGGGTAACCAGATCTTGCTGTGTCAACAGTATTTTGTTTCTCTTTTTCTGTCCTCTATCTCATTCTGTAAAAATCCAAAATGGCGTCCCTAAGAAATAAGACAGTAGTAGCCTCTCGAGTAGCCAGCTTTTAGCTTGTTATAGAAATTCTGATAACAGATCAGGCGTCCAAGAGACATAAAAAAGTAGTAGTCTGTATAATCTGTTCATTTCCGACCGTGTAAGATAGGAAATTTTTACGTTTTACAGTTATATCTCGGTCATTTTGAAAGATTTTTCAAATACGTTGATTTAGTTACATAAAGGGGAAATTTTGCCCTCATTTAACCTATACCAGTGGTTCTCCAAGTGGGTACCGCGGCACCTTAGGATTTGTGGAATTTTTAAATACACACATAATTAAATTAAAATTACTTATATTAAAAAAAGAATTAAAACAATTATCAAAAACCAATATTGGTTTTTTATTACAATTTTACCTTTTTAAGTTTCTGTTTTATTTATTACTTCTATGGTTTATTGCAAGTGCAAACGTTCAAAATGTCCGTCAAAACCATCAGGAAAACGATAATACATTCAACGTTTTGGCTGCAGTAGCAGAAAATCCGAATATAAGCTTAAGAACAAATCTTCTGCCAATTCTTCGATTATGTAGGTACTCTGATTCCGGAAAATGATAAACAAATAGTATCTGATGCAGATGCACCATACATTCTCTAAAAAAAACATTACCCTAATAGTCCGGGAGCCAGCTGCCATTTTTCATGACCAATAATAAGAAAGCTGAAATGTTGTAGTATGGTTCATTTAGTATTTCTAATAAACGTAGTGATCGTCAGCTGGCCCAGTAGCGGTGGGTGTAGTCGCGGCAGCCATCCGAATATGTATAATTATGATGAACAAAAACCAATATTAAGAAATCTGGCCCGGTAGCGGTGGGTGTATTCGCGGCAGCCATCCGAAGATGTATAATTATGATGAACAAAAACCAATATTAAGAAGCTGAGATTTTGTTTGTAGGTTGATTACTATCTAAATAAACGGAAAAAAGTAGTCAGCTGACTTTTTGGTGGTGGGTTGTACATCAGCTTCACGTCTTAACATGCGAAAAATGTTTAGGTATTTTATTTTATTTTTCTAAATTTGCATTTTTCTCTAAAGGTAAGCATCAGAGTGAAAAATGTTAATTACAAAAAATATGTGTCTTGATGAGATCTACAAAAAACGCTTCTAAACGTTTTGTGTCGGGTTCAAAATAAAGGCGCTAGAGGGCATTTTCTAAATGTTATACTATGACGTGTGTATAATCAATGCTATGACCAAAGATAATTGCAATGACTCTATTAAAAGTAGTCGGGAAGTCAAGTCAGGAGTTTACCTGCCAACTAGTTTTCACGGTAATTTGTTAATTTCTCTTCAGCAAAAAAAGAAGATAACAAACATAACAAAATTAGCAATACTAAATGAACCATACTACAAAATTTCAGCTTTCTTATTATTGGTCATGAAAATGGCAGCTGGCTCCCGGACTATAAGATACCTTTTATTGCGTCGGTTAGTTGGAACAGAATTAAATATGAAAGCGTTCGACGTCAAACAATGATAACTTAGATGCGATGCGCTTCTGGTTTGTTGAAAGATTCCAAAGCATCACTGATTTATAAAAATGTAATTTTTTATTTTGTCGATTTCTACGGTTTTGAAAATTATAACTAAAAGTATGACCAGATGCAGTATTTTTTCCTCTAAAAAAACGTATTTAGACTTTTGCTCTAAAATAATTAGGGGAGCTAGTAATTGACTATAAAGAAATTACCATTGAAATCCCTATGCTGCGTTGCGCTAGGCACCACCCTGTATATTAGTCAATTACAAAGACAGATCCAATTATTTTAATATCATATCTCCTTTCAAATGGAAAAATTCGTTTTAGAAATTGTGAGCCAGCGAGTCGAGCTTGCCTTCGACTACCGAGCGTTACGCACAGAATATAGGTGCGTACTCTATGTTATGTGGCGTTACGCATGAGGTGATTTTACTCCCGTCCAAAATATATAGTGTATACCGAGCGATAAGGAGTAGTCAGAGAGAGAAAGATTAAAAGCCCTTGAAAATGATATGATGACATGTCTTTCAAAAACACGACCTAATATCAAGGAAATATTATGAAAACAACGTCAAGCGCATACTTCACATTTTATCACCAGATTCATTCATATTTTATAATAATAACTTTTGTTTGAAATGTTTTTGTATTTAACTGTAAAAAAGACAAAAAAATAATAATAGGGGTGCCGTGAATTTTGTTTAACCTTTCCATTCCGGAGTGAAGATAATTATTTCGCATAAACTTTTCTTTCGAGACTTTAATGGCATTGTCCTTCCAGATAATCCTCGGTCGGTCAATTTTACGTGAAATATATGGCATTTTAAGGAAACTGACGTTAAATAGCCTAAACTAAATAAGCTTGATAGTATAACTGCGTTACCCCACTGTGGTGAGTACGTGATTTATCAGAACACCAGACCGGAAGGGTTAATAATTTTAGTGTGCCACCAGACAAAAAAGTTTGAGAAACACCTACACTGTATCTTTCGCTGTTACCGAGATCCCAATGGTGAGCCACGAATTTGAACCACCTTGGACATTCACTGAGCCACATTTGTTTAAATAAAATTATGACAAACCGCTATTTGAAAAGCACTTTCTGTTAAAATTTAGGAAAAATCTTCCCACAACTAACAAGAGTATGATCTCAATTCGCTTTTGTAAGAAGCATTTTTAGTTAAAATTTCATACAAAGGGTCCACAAATAACAAAATAGTGTTTGCTCATGCGCATGCGCTTTTTGACACGTGGTTTTAATAACAAATAAGAAATGTGCGTAATATTTTTTTTTGCGTTTAATTTACTTTTTTGCGCGATCGGTCATTTCTGACTATTTACCATGGGTGTTTCCATGACAGTACGTAGAATTTACCAGTTGCTATGATTACGACGACGCCAAAATTACTTACCGATCTAAAAACAGAACAGCAAAAATACTTACCGACGCCTTTTTAAAAATCAACAGTCTTACATTACATTTAATCTTTAATTATTGTTAGGTACATTAAACGTACAATTTGTGCTGTTGTTTCCTATAGCAAGACGCTCATAAAGTCATAAAGGAAGTACAAAGCTAGTAAACTACATCAGACACATGCACCTTTTTATGAAATTATTAATTTCAATTTTGACAAATAAACTGGTTACCTAGAGATTGACACCATACCACTTCGATCATTTCGATTTATTCTGCTCGTTAATTTCTTAGTGCATATTTATATTGGTTGCATAATTTTAATTTCGATCGCGCAAAAAATGTTATAAGCACGTCGAACGTTAAGGGTTACCGTTCTCAGACAATAATTGGAGTCGTCGCTTCGCTCCTCCTCCAAACAATTGTCTTCGAATGGTAAAAATCCCTTACCGTTCTCCATACTTAATATACTATTTCTAATCATTTATAAATTAATTAAATGAGGAGGTAATAATATTGAGATCAATTATATGGGAAACGCTTTTGTCAGGTGAGAAAGTTCTCTGCATGTGCAAGAAAGGGGGTCAAGTCGACCATGCAGATACCTGGGCATTCAAGGAAAAAGGATATATCGGCGGTTTTATGACAGTGGAATTTATTTGGGTAACAAATCAACATATAAGGTCAGTTTGTACGAAATTAAATTGCTTATAATTTATATTTTATAAAATATTAGCCCAGTCAAATAAGAAAAAATAAAAACATTAATCGGTAAAGATCTGAATTTTGGTACACATGTTTATTAGTGTTCCCCATTGGACATACTAAAAGTCCCCGTCAAAATCTCTGCGCTCGAGGCGCTATCTTGGAAAAAAGGTGCACTTTTTCAGTTTCTTGCCTATATATCGTCAATAATTACTGATACAGAAAAATAGTTTAGATAAAAAATATAGTTGATTAAATTGAGATAAAAAATATAGTTGATTAAATTGCGCATAAAAAAGCATATTAACATTTTTTTGTATGTCCAAAACTTTAGCTATAATCCGACATCGAATAGGAAATAAAGTATCCTGAGCTCTCGAAACAGTCGCGCAGATATTTTTTACAGCTCTATGATCGGTAAAGATTATGAATGAATGACAAATCATTAAATTTATTGATGTCGTATCACACCCAGTGAAGGCATGTGCAAACAAAGTGTAATCCTGAGTCCCTTCATGTGATTGCAAGATACCCGAGAAATATATTTTTCGCTCAGTTTTTCCCTTTCGTGGTTTCTTGAAAAACATATTATTGTCCTGCGGGGTGAATGCAGTTAGTAGAACAAGGCGATCAATATCTGCAGCAACAATGACAACATTTGCAGCCAGAGATAATTCTATTCCCATCTTGACGATAAGGATATCAGCATCATCTTCAGCTTGTCTGAGCTCAAACCCTTCATTTCAAAATCTCTGCCATATCATTGATATCAATCGAGATTTGTTTTTATCGTTACCCAAAAGCTTTAATAAGTATTATGAACATTATGTCAGTACTAGAATGCTGTATCGCACGACGATGCTGTTCATTTTTTGGTGGTTGCAGCCATCGGTGTAGTCATAAAAAACGGCCTCCTTACAACTACGAAACGGGGCCTAAACGCGTTCTGACATATTCAACATCAGATTACAGCTAAAGTATTGGAGATACAAAAAAAATGTAAATACTCTTTTTTATAGGGAATTTAGTAAACTATATTTTTCATCTAAACTATTTTTCGTATCAGTAATAGCTACCAAGATATGGGCAAAAAACTGAAAAAGTGTACCATTATTCCAAGATGGCGGCTCGAGCGCAACAGATTTTGACAAATACTTTTAGTATGTTCAATAGAAAGTTCAAATAAATGTGTATACCAAAATTCAGATCTTTACCAATTAATGTTTTTATTTGTCCAAAATTGCGCTAATTTGACTGGACTATATGTTTTGTATCTGTTTTCATGTTCGTGTGTTTTCAGCTATTTGCATGCGAACTTGTTTTTCATAATAGCAGTAGAAGCCGCAAGTGCAAGTGCAGAAGCTGCAACTTATCTTTGACCTTTCTGTTGTCCATCAAATCGACTATGTTTTGCTTCACAACTTTAGCAGCATTTTGTTCACCCGTTTTATTATACCATTATACCCAGTGGTCTAAACCAGTAGCTTTATCATTTGCTAAATATTTGTTGGGAAGATTTATTTAACCATTTCTTCACAACCTTGGTTCCAGGTTTAAGATACACCTTTCAAACATTTGCAAACGACAACATACGTTGGAACTAATATGTGTTGTTTAATTTCAGATTTAAAAGGAAAACCTCCCGCACAGCAGATGTTCCCAGTTCAAAGAAGAAAAAGAAAGCGCTTAAACAAACTAAATCGTTATCTGTTAATGAAGCCGAAGAGTTAGCAATGTTGCTTCTACAGAATAAATCTTAGGTATTTAGTTAAATTGTTTATTAAAAAAAGTTTTCCTGCAATTACTGTATAAAAACGTTACAAAAAATATAATTGCACAGTTAACAATTTATCATTAATATAACAAGTTATACCCAATCTTTAGGTGTTCTGAGTACCTCTAGAAGTTTATACTCTCTCGAATCTTGATCAGGCTCGTGCATGTACTCCCATCTCTAAAATATAATTGTAATTTTTACAAAATCAAAACATGACAACTTACAGCTTCAAGAGGAAGTGACATCATAATGCTTTCATACCTCGCACCAGGTGTCTGTAATCCAAACTTTGTGCCTCTATCATACACCAAATTAAACTCAACATATCGTCCTCTTCGTAATAACTGCCATTGTCGTTCCTTTTCAGAGTACTTCTCATCTTTGTGCTTAGCAACTGAACATGTATCAATTACAGATTGCATTGATAACTGCTAAATAACTCACCTAAAGGCATATATGATGGAATCACCGCATTAGCGCAAGAAGTTACAAAACCAAAAACTTTATGTTGATTGGGCTCATCTAAATCGTCGAAAAATATTCCCCCAACACCACGCCGCTCTCCTCTATGTGGTATATCGAAATAATTGTCACACCATTTCTTGAACTTTGGATAATACGTATTACTATGTCTGTCACAGGCTTCCTTTAACGTTTTATGAAAATGAATTGCGTCGTCGTTATTCAAATAGTATGGTGTTAAATCGGTACCACCACCAAACCACCATTGGACATTTGTGCCATCTTGCACTTCGAAATAGCGGTAATTAAAATGAATCGTAGGCACATGTGGATTCCGCGGATGTATAACTGCACTTATTCCAGCCGCAAAAAAAGGGAGTTGACCTTCACTTAGCTGTTTCCCTCTCGACCTCATTTGACTCACAGCAGCGGGAGGTAAATGTCCCGATACTACCGATATGTTGACACCCGCTTTCTCCAAAACTTTGCCATCTTGCAGAATGCAGGTGATACCACCACCACCCTCCTTTCGCTGCCATTTATCGACGAGAAATTTGTGTGAACTATTTTCCTCCTTTTCCAAAGCTTTACAAAACTCCGCCTGCACTTTCATAATCATAAGCTCCATGCGCGTTTTCATATCTGTCGGATTGGATTGTAATTGTTCCATTGGAGTTATTGGGCTTGCCATAAAATTTGATGTGTCATTACTATCACTCTGAGTAAAGAAGGGGACAGCAGCTCCGATAAATAACGCATGGTGTCTACAAAGAAATGCAATTCATTATTTTTTGTACTCCCGACTAAATCAACCTGTACCGCAAGTAACCACAACCACGACCATGGTTCAATGCTTTTGATTTGCGGTATGTACTATTAGTTTCGTGCACCAGATTTTATACTTATTGTACCGTTTTCCATATATCTTTTTAAACTTGGGAGGCAGTAGTTTCCTCATGGCTTCTTCTTTAGAGTTTTAAACAATCATCTATCTACGCCGTCGTTTTGAACGAGAATCTTAACTTAAACTGACATTACTATTTAAGCTGGAAACACACGATCGAACATCACGACAAACATGTACGCGCATACAGAAAAACAAGAAGTTTATGAAGAAGGAGATATCAAAAAAGAAGAATAGGTAAATTGAATGAGAAGACCTATTATTCTACTAGGATTAAATAAAATAGGCCCTGGAGTAGACCTACTGGGGAAACCACGTTAAAAAACGCATCAAGTACACTACCTCACAGGTGGCGTGGAAACGTGTGCATAGTATAGAGAAAACCCATTTTCGCAAACTTTGACCTTGAATAAAATTTTTTGCACACATGGGATCGATGGGGACTTTTCACAATTTCTTTATAATGGTATCCCTAACGTTCATGTGAATTTTCAGCTTCTTGGGAATTTATGCAAGGGTACCCCTATTTTCCGGGCATTATCTAGCTAACCGTTAGTACAGCAAACCACCGATTACTTCAGATAATATCTATAGAATGCACGGATTAACATTATGGACATCTAACTCAACTTCGAATTGCAACCTTCCCCCTTAAAACGGGTTAACTGTATATGAAATTTTTACTATAAAAAGATGTGTGATCGTTAGGTACCTATAGTACTTAACTACTTACGTAAGCAATATGTTCAATAGATCGGTGTATTCCATTGTGATATTAAGCAGTGTTTTCTTGTAAGATTTGTAGATATTCGTGTCATGTGTAGATAAGTTAACAATAAAAGTAATATCATTGTTATTTCTAGTTTTAGATGTTACCTAGGAAAGGTGGAGGTACTTAACCTATGAGGCTTACCGTCTTGCAGAGGGAGTAGGTACATGGACGTTCGTTACACATCCACCATAAATAAATTTAGGCACATCGACGGAATTTAAAGTTTCTATATGTGAGTGTTGCGTCTAAGCTGTCAACTTCAAATTTATCACTTATAATTGCACAAGAGGTTTGTATTTTACCGAGTAAATTTGGGTTGTTTAGGTAATGAAAATCTGTTGCCTAGCAATTAGACGAGAAAAACTGTCAACTAATAAAAATGCGACACCGCAGGTGGAGCATTTTTAGGTTGACAGTTTTTCGAGTCCAATTGCTAAAAGGAAACAGATTTGAATTGCCACAACCCAAATTTACTCGGTTTAAATACAAACCTCGAGTGTAATTCGGCAGGACAATTTAACGAACAAGAAATTCACCAAACTAATCAATTATTGACAGACGTCAAACTAGTCATATGGGAAAGGATAATGCGATAATTGGTTCGAAAATGAATAAGTGAAAAAACCACTAGTGCATTTGTCGCTGGAAAAGTTGCAGGTAACTTTTGCCGCTGTCAAAGTGACAATTTCACTGCGGCTTATGCGATTTTTTATACATGAGTTGAATTGTCAACGTAAAAGATGTTGTCAACTTAAGACATATTAATGCTAAAGTTTCCTGTAGTTTTTGATAATTACTTTCACTTGTCTTAAAATATACTAATTTCCTTTTGTCCTCTACTTATTTCATTCCATGAAAATCCAATACGGCGTCCTCCACAGCGTCCATAAGAAATAAGAAAACAGTAGCCTGTATAGCTTCTATATTTAGCGTGTTAGGGCAATTCTGATTTACCATAAATAAGTGCCCATAAAACGTGAACTGTCAATTTGTGAACGTTTAAGCTAGGGATGATAAAAACGAAATTTAACATTTTCCGTTTTTCGTTGACATCTCGGAGCCAAGAATTTGAACCACCCTGTACATCACATTAAAACATTTTTGATAGGCTACTATAATCTATTGACTTGAAAAAAAAATAAAAATTTGTGCTTCAATGAGTATACAAGAGGTTCGAAACATTCTTTTAGTTCAAATTTAATTTAACTATTAGTCCTTTGTTACTTATCATCTTTCCCATCTTATTTATTTTTATTTTGATTCGTATTTTTTTTTAATTTTCTTTTTCTTTTTATTAAATTCTCTTATCAAGTTATTCACCTTGCACCTGACAGAAGGTATTAACAAGTATTAAACTTAGATATCTGCTGCAGGTATGAATTCAGTGCTGATATATTATTTTTTTTTTCTTTTTAATGTCCAATGTACCCATGTTTGTGTGAATGAAACTCCCTAGATTTTATACATTTATTTGTAGTATATTAATTATGTAAGTTTAAAGTGAAAGATATTTGGTTGTTTTTTATGTACAAATAAATGACTTATTATTATTATTATTATTATTTCCTATTATATACACTCTTAGCAGTGTACGCATCGATTGCCATGATCATTAGCGTACTACTGTGAGGGGTTCTAAATTACATATATGTTTCTTACTTTATATTTCATTAAGTAGGGTAGTTTGGTGAAGAAAGTCAATCAAGTTTGTGTAGTTTGCTTTGTTTTTTAGAATGTCGATATAATTTCCTTGTATGTTATTGTCTTAGGGTTGTGGCCCCCCTACAGTGATCCAGTGCAATTTGAATAAAATAAGACTTTTACGCTCGAATGGATACTCCTGTATTAAAAAGTTTTGTGCAATCTGAGGTTTGGCTTGGTAAAATACGTTTACACAAATTTTTTGTTAATATTAACTGCAAAGTATACGGCACTATCCCCGTGACCATGCCCCTACAATAAGCAAAAAGCTGAAGACAATTTAGGTGGATACTAATTTCACGACAACAAGACCTTTCAGGTCTAATCTGATAAACTGCCTCACACGGTTTATCACACTAAGGATAGTCGTTTTATACCTAGCGATTGAAGTAAGTATGATTAAGTCACTCGATTCTAAATCAAAACCCATTGATGAAATGAAAAACAGAATTAATTTCAGTTTAACAGTCTTGAGAGGATAGGTTGACATTCAGCAGTTTTAAACACACACACACATCATTGGTTCACATGTAATAACCCTCCTAATAACCTTAAGGATAATGACCATGGAAAGATGTAAAATGCTAATTATCGGGAGCCTACTTACCGAAATTTATTATAATAATCTCTTCGTTGATACAATATTAACGAGCATATAGCATTTATTCTTTTGAAAACCATATTCTTTCTTTCCCCTTATTTAGGCAAACGTTGCAGTAATCTATTCGAATAAACAGGTTAAGTAGTATACCAATGCTGTCAAAATCAGCTGTTGCTGATATAACCTCCAATCATGTACTCCACGTTATCATCTACTGTCGCGTTTTAGTTGTGGAAACGAATTAGGTTGAACAGAGATGTGATCCGTGTAGTCTGGGGTGGATTTACGCAAATGCAACATGTGTTTTATAAATGTATTGATCTGTGACTAGTGTTTAATTTTATAAATAATTCGATTTATAGAAATATATTTTTAATTAGCGGGAGAACGGTTGTTTAAATTTTGATTAAAACGTAAAACGACAGGCGAGATTAGAGAATTTCGCTTGCGCGATATCGGTTTTTCCATAGCGCATAACAGAAGTTGTGCAGAATAAAGCGCAGAGGTTCTATTATTGATATTTGAACGTCAACACCGTAGGTTGGTGAGAATAGCACGAGTGACTAAACGTGATTCTCTCATATTAACGTATCTTGCTGGAGTTCCAGGCACTAGCGCATTGCAAAAGGTTCGTACCTTACGGTGCGATTTATGAGAGCGGCCTTGGCATCAAATTCAGTACGTTTGTGGCAGATAATGTGATTTTTAAATTTAGATGCCGGCAGTAGATTCATGAATTAAAGCAAAATTAGAAACTGAGAAATCGATTACTTTCCATTGTTATCGCATTTACTAACTTTCTGGTTAATGTTATGGTGTGACGAAACGCGATAAGGACTCTCACCAGTCATGAAGAAGTTTACGTTTAAAGGCGTTTTGGACAATTTTCGTACATCCGTTGTACAGCCAACTAAACCAGACCAAGAAATCCAGGAAACTTTGCGACCGGATAACTTTCAAGTTAAAAGGGTAAGTTTCTCGTTTGTCTTTAATCAAAATGTATAATACTTTCCAAGCTAATATTATCTTAATTTATGATGGATTAACCCCCGGAATAAAGGGGAATTCTGCGAAGCAAGATATTATTTATCACTTTAATTCAGAATTTTCCTCTCTTGGCGTTTTTTATATGTACAATCTATCTGTTGCATTGATTTTGGATTACGCAATAGTCAACACACATTTTTGTTTTCTCAAAACACCCTTTATATTTTAATCACTGCTATTATGTACTCTGCTATCGAACCGATATTGACCAAGGCTGATAAAAAATGTTAACATAAGGTTGCAATTGAACAGTCCACGTCATTTTTAGCTCCCTCAAAAACATGCCTAACAAGACAGCTATTTTATCAGATCGAGGTTAGTAAATGGTACGCGGAGTGTGGAAAATGCGATTGGAGAAATTGGTCGCTGATATGTAAAGGATTAGCTTAATTCTAGTGTAGGTCGGTTTCAACTAACTGTCGCATTGTCTTGAAATAAATCAAAATTTCTCGAAAACACTTCCTATTTTTGTCCAACGTAGGCAACACACAATACTAAAAAGCTCCGATATATTTTGAAACGTACACCGAGACGTACACGATCTATTTGAGTGGTAAATGTAGCTGTAGAAAATTGCGGAGTAAACTCGGGAGTAAACATACCAAATTTGTCATGAATGTATCAAATTATGGGACATAGGGAAAGAAAATCTAGGAAATGTTACGCCAAAGGCCAAATAGAATCAAAAGGGACCAAGTTATATGTCGATCCGTCTGTTTGTATACGGTAAAAATACTAACTCTCTGCCAAAAATATGCTAATCGCTATTGGTCAGCATACTAATAAAGGCAAGGGTGGAAAATTTAAATTGTGTAGATGTTGTTCAGCTGGCGATTCCGGGTGTTAGCTTTATGACAAGGGGTTGACCACTTCGGAGATTGTTGTACACCATTTACATAGATTACTAAGAGTGTACTGAATTTAGGTCAAAATTTCTCATTATCTTATAAAACTTCCCAAACATTTATGCTATTTTAATTTATGAAAATAAGAGTATAAACCAAGTACATCCAGAAAATGTCCACCTGATAATGATTCAGAAACCACATCAACGGACGGAGTTACAAGTTACCATCCGCAAGTTTTGAAGAAATAGGTAGGTACTAGCGAGGGTACTAGAAAAAATTCAGAGATTCGCCATCCTTGCAACCATCGGAGACATTGGAAATGATAACCCTATAACCTATACAGCCATAAATAATCCTTATTCACACGGAATAATCTTGCTCCACTCGCTTGCAAACTCGCTCGTGTCGCAAACGTAAACTTTCTGAATAATAAGCGGCGTACCTAAACCTTGGATAACCGACAATGTAAAAATTCTAATGCGTGAAAGAGACAAGTTTAAAAGGAGGTTTCTTCAATCCAAATTCTCAGCAGACTGGGACAATTACAAGCATTTACGCAATTGTACCACTTCGAGTACCACTTATATATGTAATTGCGAAAAAAAGGCGTATTTCAATCACATCCTTAAAGATGCGAATAAAAGGAAACTCTGGAATAAATTGAAACTGTTAAGCCTCCATTCGCATCCACAGTCAGTGATACCAGAGCATCTCAATAATCCTGAGGACATTAATACATTCTTTGTCAATAAAGTACCATGTATCAATATCCCATTAAAACAATTTCAATGTTATGAGAATTTACCTAAAGGTACTCCGCCACTTCAATTTAGGACAGTTAGCGAAAATATGGTTTCTGATGTTATTCGAAGCATTAAAAGTAACGCTTTAGGGTCTGATGGTATCAATATAGAAATGATTCGATTGTGCTGTCCATATATAATACCATTCTTGACAAACATATTCAATAGTTGCATTTTAGGGGGCATATATCCAGAAGCATGGAAGCAAGCAAATGTTTTGCCTATTCCAAAGTTTAAGGAAGTACAATCGTTTAACGATATGCGACCTATCAGTTTACTGCCTGCATGTTTCAAAATACTGGAAAAAATTAGTTACCAGCAAATTTGTGAGCTTGTAGAACAGTATAATTTATTACCACATTGTCAGTCGGAGTTTAGGCTCAATCATAGCTGTACTACTCGAGGTACTACCATATTACTCAACATAACATATGATATCATATCGTCAACTGATAAAGGTAAACTAACTTTACTTGTTCTGCTAGATTTCAGTAAGGCATTTGATTCTATTAGCCACGAATTACTTTTTGCTATATAAAATGCTGTGGATTTACAACTAACTAAGTTGACTTAATATCGTCCTCGAGATCGTCCTACTTAGATCATAGAACTCAAAGTGTTGTCATCAATCAAAAACGTTCTGAGGCCCACATTTTGTCAAAGGGAGTTCCGCAAGGATCAATTCTGGGCCCACTATTATTTCAGATTTACACCTCTATGTTCCCTAACAGCATCCACCACTGCAAAATTCAAATGTATGTTGATGACATTCAGCTTTATTACTCATTCAGTCCCGACGCTTTTCAAGAGAGTCTTAGCAAGGTTTCACAAGATCTAGTCTGGATTAATACTGAATCCTACTAAATCCGGTGTAATGATATTTGGTAATAAATCAAAATGTGAAATATGTAAACCAATAATAAATCTGACGTTGAATGACATTTGCATTCCAGTGTTAGACAGAGCTAAAAACTTAGGACTAATAATGGATAATAACATGAGATATAAGGAGTATATATCAAAATGCGTGCAAAAATCTTACATGGGTCTTAAGCTTCTCTATCTCCATAGAAGACCTTGGCGATAAGTCTAAAACGAAAAAATAAAATACAGAGGGTACAGAATTCATGTCTTAGATTTATTTACTGGTTGCGAAAGACATATCCCACAAGCTCACTGATTGTCTCTGGTTAAAAGGCGTAAGCTTCATGCTACTACTTTTTACCATAAGTTAATTTTAACCAAAGTACCTCCTTATCTATCTAATAAAATCACCTACCGCTGCAATGTGCATAATTTAAACTTAAGATTTCAAGGTAAAATGACCCCTCCACGGACCCCTCCCTCACACAGCACAACCTTTTTTGAGAGATCGTTTTCTTTTAATGGATTTACAATAGCTTACCCAACCTGTGAAGTTTTTGAATTGTAAATATAAAGATTTTTTGTTTAATGAACAATCTACATTTGGAAGGTAAACTAGCTTGTCACTACTAGATGGAATAACATATTCAGATAGATATTAATTTTTACAATGCGTTTTCCAGAAGAACATTTACTTGCGACTTTGATTTTGTTTGTTGATATATATTGAGGTCGGATTGAAAAGCAGACGTTGATCTGAATCCCACCTTACGGTTTAAAACTGTAGTAGTTCATATTTAGCATTTAATTTATTTTATTTGTTTTTCTCTTTACACTAATTTTTTCTTCTTTCTTTAATAATTTGTTTTTTAATCAAATTTTTACAATTCTCTTTAATTGCTTTTTTAATCGTAACTGTCTCATTTGTTATATGGCTACTGCAGTTATTAAATAAAGGAATATTATTATTATTATTACATCCTTGTAGTACTATCACGGGCGATGTGCGAGAAATTTAAATTCGAATTAACAAAACCCCTGCGGACTGTTAAGTAAGTACCGTATAGACAGTATCCGCGACTTTTCCTGAATCTATCGATTGCAGTCGAGTACGGTACAATCAACACTAGACGCGACACCACTTGTCTTCTTTTCTACTCGCGAAACCTGGTAAATTCATACCCATACAAAACATAAGCATTTCCCTCGGCATTTCCAATGCTAAAATAACAAGTTTGCCGACCTGCGTAGCTCAGATGAGTTTACGTTCGCCCCGAGGTCCGCCCACTATAAAATAAAGGCAATAACATAAAAATAAATTAATTAAAAGAAGTACTTGTTAACGATTTACAAAAAGCGCATTTCCACTTGCATTCATTTCCCATTTGTAAGATGCAACTTCTGTTAAAATTTCGTAAAAATCCGGCCACAAATAAGAAAAATAGCGTTGCACACTCGATTGCACATGTGCAATCCATTTTTGACGTGCTACTTCAATTTCAGTGTATAATATATGAATAATCCTACCCGAACATTTTAGAAGAATTGGTTTACAAATAACGAATGTGGGTCAGATTGCGCATGCGTAAAACACATTTATTTGATTTGGCATTAGTGTTACCTTCATTCGAGGTGTCTACATACAAAATTTCGTTTAAGGCCAAGGCAAATAAAAAATTGGATTACGCAAATACAACAGTTATAGTGCACAACTGCACACGGATAGACAGATGGACGGATAGACAGACGGGCAGGGAGACAGACAGCAATCCAATGGCAAAAGTTTTAAATTATGGTATGTACCTTTTTACCATATATTTTTTCGTAAGCGACACAGAAAAAAATGGTTCCAAATTACCGGATTTTTTTTAACGCAAAGTCGTATGGAAAGTGTTACTTTTTTCACGATTTATACTACGCGTTTCCATGGTGTTTAGTCCCATGATACAATAAAAATAAGATATGCTAGATTGCCGTTCCAAATTCGTCCAGTTCGCGCATGACGTCACGCGGTGATAAAATTTGAATTTAAAGCCGAATTTTTTTCTTAATTCTACTACAAATACTAACATTTCTTAATTA